GATATTTGAATTTGACTATTCTATTGAATTCTATGTTTGTTTGAAATATTATGGAGAATGATAAATGCTCAAAAAATTATTTTACCCTTTTGAATTGTTTACTAAATAATAGAAAATCTAAGTTATAAATTTTATTTAATTTTTTACTATAACTTTTAAAAAAAATTAAATAAATAGAATATTAATAAAAATTAGATAAATTTATTTTAATTTGTAGTTGAGATTTTTAAATTTTATTTTACTTTACTAAGTATAATTAATACCATATGATTATTAAAATAAAATAAATAATTATTTACACTTTACTAAGTATAAATAATTTAATAAATAAAATTTATTTTTACATAGATATCAAATAATAAAAGGTCAAAAATGTAATTTTACTATTTAATGTCATGGGATGAGTTATGGGATTTGTGTCCCTCCATGAGATAGAACAATCCAATATATTTGGAATTAATATTCTGAATGGAATATTAATCCTGTACAAAAATTTTGAATCAAACAACGGACTATTCCATCCACCAGATGTATGAATCTTATCCTATAGCTCAATCCTTCAAACAAACATGTTCTTATAGTAAAAATTATATACCTTGTTTTGTTTTAAAAAATTGAACCCACATTTTAGAAAATTAAATTTTTTATTTTTCATATATATTTTTTAAATGCACCTAATTAAATTTTTTATTTTTCATATATATTTTTTAATTTTTTAATCAAAAAATTTAATATATATTTTTTTATTTTTTAAATGCACCTAACCTAGATACACTTAAAAAGTATAATATTTATGGAGAACTTTTTTGAAAAAAATTCATCAAATACAAAAAAAGTATTTAAAAAATATAAAAAGTTAGTATGTTTTCTTTGTCTTGTGTATTTATTGAATTTTTAATATATTTTTTCACAAATATTTTACTTTTTAGGTACATCTAAGTTCAGTGATGGAGCTAGTAAACTAAATTAGAAGGGGTACTTATTGATTACAACTTTAATTTTTTTTTTCCATAACTAACAATAAGAAGATAATAATAATTTTTGAATTAATATTAAGTACAAAAACTTAAATAAATTATTACAAAAATATTTCACATAAAATTTTACAATTAACTTTGAGTATAATCGAAAAGAAAGTATTGCGTGTAATTAGTGTATCATGAACAATGAAAAAAATCATATATTTAAGTCTTAAAATAAATTATATAATGGTAAGATAAATCAATTTTTTACAAAATTTGAGTAAAAATTTCATATAATAGTGATATTACGCGATTATTAATATTTGATATCACAAACCAATAATAAAATAACATATGAATGGTAATCTCCACATGTAAATATAACTAACACTGTAATTTTTACATATATATAGTGAGATTAATTATATTTGCATATCAATAATAATGGATATTATCTTTATATTGAGATTTTTTCACAAAATTTTCATACATAAAAATATAATTTGTTATAGTCATTTCATTTCAATAAAATAATCACTATTATTTTCATAAATTTAAAAATACTCTTGACATTTTATTCTAAATATTATTTTTGTTTAAAATTTTATTTATATACATATGCAAAAAAAAAAAAAAAATTTCAGGGGGCACATGACTTCCTTGGTCACCATGTGGCTCCACTACTGTCTAAGTTATATGCATATAGAAAGTAAAAAATTTATTTAAAATATGAAAATAAATCACTAAAAACAATCAGTGTGTTTGGTTTGAGTTTTTTGAATTAAGTTTTTTGAAAACTGAGTTTTTTAGTTTTCATATTTTTTTATTTTTTGTAAATATTTTTAAAATTTTAAATATTTTTTTTTACCTTTTTAGATGCACCTTACTCAGATATATCTAAAAAGTAAAAAATTTGTGAAAAAATATTTTTAAAAATTAATAAATACATAAAAATACAAAAAATGTACTGAATTCTAGTATTTTTTTTTTATATTTTTGGTATTTAATGAATATTTAAAAGGTTTTTTTCAATTTTTTTTTTTACTTTTTAGGTATATTTATATTAGGTATGTCTAAAAATTAAAAAAATTACTCAAAATATTAAAAAAATATAGTAAAAATAAAAAAATACGAAAAATAAGAAAGTACAATTTTCTAAAAAGTATTTTTAAAAAATAATAACCAAGCAAGGTGAATAATTTTAAAAAATCAATCAAAACCAAATATAGTGATAAATATTTCAAAAGCATTACGTGTCTATGTACCTAACTAATTATATTTTGTCATTTTTTCTCATTGTTCTTATTTTTTGGCCATATAAATACATCATTGATTAGTAGATGGGCACATTGTCACCTCAAAATTTTTAGAAGACCAGACACATTTTTTCATCTGCCCTTGGGGGATGTTTGTTTCATGGAATTGAATATCCAATATATTTACTAATTGGAATAATAGCTAAATACGCATTATTTTCAATTAAATAATTTAAAGATTATTTATTTTACTACTAACAGTCTATTATTGCAATGTCCCTTACTTAGTCAATCGAAACAAAAGCCCTCCTAAATCAAAAACACCAAATGACCAACCCTTTGATATAAATTATAAGGAAAATGTTTGAAACTTCTAAAAAAGTTCATTTAATTTGACCCACAATAATATGACATGATATGTGTCAATTTTTAATTTGTCATAAACTCAACTATATAGAGCTTCGCTATATTGCCATATCATTGTAAGTGAATTTAGGACTCTAAATTGTGGGTCGCATTATTGTGTATTAGGTAGTTGACAGTCAACATGTCAAAAAAGTCACTCGAATCCCTTATGACAATAAATCCTACTTTGGTGGTTTGGTGAATTGCAAGTCTTTAGCATTTCACGAGTTATAAATTGTCTTTTATGATTATAATTTTCTTTTAAATTATTAGCTTAAAAAAAATTATTAATTTGTTTGAAGTTGATTTTTTGTAAAAAAAATTTAACTACAAAAAAAGCCAACTACCAACTTCCCACAATCAATTTCTGAAACCAGCCCTATGTATCTATACACTTAGGAGAATTCTATTATATACACCTCCATATCATATGTACTCTCAGTTATATCATTTTTTTTTAATTATAACCAATTTTTTTTTAGTTAGATATTATTTTGAAATATTTTGCTATGACTTTTTTGTGTTTGGTTATGACTTTTTTTTAAAGTTATGATTAAGAAAGTATAAAATTATGTTATTTTTTCTGCAGTTATAAGGTGTATAGCATACGCCATTTGAAAAGTGTGTATCATAATCTTTATCGTAAACTTATATTGGAGGTATTTGGAAAGATGGCTGTGTTAAAATAGCCTACTAAAAGATAGAATATGCTAAAATAAGCAATAAAACAAAATGTCATATCTAACTCATAATTATTTCACTTTTTCTTTCACAATCATCAAATCAACTATCAAAAATAAATAAATAAATAAGTAATCAATTTCACAAATACAACTATTTTAATCAAATTAAAATAACTAAAAAAAATTAAATAACAAATTAAAATAATCAACTTTTTAAACAAGCACATCGTATCTAAAATTGTGTCCATGTTATGAGAATTTTGCCACCACTTCCACTCGTATGAGGGCGGAGGGAAAGGGGGGTTGGGTGGTTGTGGCCCAGCAAGAATTGTAAGAACTCTATGTATATGTGTATGTGATATAGTGATGCGTAACCGTTTGTTGATGTTTGGCCCCTGCAAAAATTCTGACCCTAACAATACATATCTATCTCATAGAAGATAAAGGGAGCCCAAACATCACTAGTCTTATAAAAAAGTGTGGCAAAGAAGCAATATTTAGCCTCCGTTTGGGAAGTGGGTTGGCTTTTTGGCTTTTTAACTTTTTTGGCTATTTTAGCCTGGGCTAAAAAGCTTGGTTTGGGAAGAACTTTTTGACTTTTTGACTTTTTTTGTGAGAGAAGAGTGTAATGATTATGGGTTGGATGTGATGTTTTGTTTGTTGTGGCTAAAATAGCCTATTTTGTCTTTTGTGACTCTTTTAGCCCCAATCTTGCTTGCCAAACGAACCCTTAGTAGTAAATTTTGATGAATTTTGTATTGCATTTGATTTATGAATTTGGATAGAAATTTGAAAAGAAAAAGAAAAAATGTGCATGAAATGTAGGTGAAATATAATTCTATTTCATTCATATTTTATGTACTTTTTTTTTTTAAACCTAAATTCATGAACCAAACATAAGATTAGAATACATATTTAAAGGTACAAGAGATGTATCTTCTTAATAAAATCCGTATAATAAAAAATAATTCAAAATTAAACACAATGAAATAATCAAACATTTTAACCACTATGATAGTTTCAAATTTATAATACTTCACTTGCTCAATATCTTAATAAATTTATACATTATTAATTTAAACACACAAATTATAAAACAAGTAGTAAATTTTAAGTAAATTTTAATTGTTTTTATTTAAATAATTCAAAATTTTATTAAAACCGATGTAATTAAAATTTTCATATACTAACAAGATTTATCTTATTTGTATTTGATTTTGGGTAATGTTAGGGACACCAAATTTTTTACCAAACAAATAACCAAATAGGATCTACAATTTTATAAACCCCACACCCATATAAAACATTTAATCATTTATTTAGTAAAAAATTTAAGACCTCTAACATTTTCTTTGATTTTTGCAATACGAACCTCCACTCCAGCCGTATGACCTAAGTTATTGAGGAGGCTAAGAAAACGAGTATTTGCGGGGCGGTTGGGAACACCAAGGATCTTCTAGAGTATTTTTTCCTAAAGTTTCTTAAAGTGGTGTATTGTGTGGTTGAGATTTAATGCTGAAAAATTGATGTGACTTATCATTAAATCTCAACCACACAATCCACCACTCTAGGAAACTTTAGGAAAAAAAAAACTCTAGAGGATCCTTGCTCGGTTGGGAAAGTGAGTGTATACATTCATCGAATCTGATGCGTACACGTGGTGGTCTCTATCTTCTATAAATGCGCAATAACCTCCATTCAACTTTCACATAACCCCTGTTTTCGTCTTTACAACACACAACACACACTCTCTCTCTCTCTCTCTCCTAATTTGTGTAGGTAGTTCTCTCACAGATTGGTTTCCTCTCTCTCTCTCTCTGTGTCCAGTTAGTTGTTTGTGAGTGAAAATGTCAGACGAATCAACAGCAACCTGCATCGATATCCTCTTGGCCATCATCTTGCCTCCCCTTGGGGTCTTCCTCAAATATGGCTGCCAGGTCTCTCTCTCTCTCTCTCTCTCTCTGTAGATCTGATTCTGATGTTGTTTTTTGTTGTTTGGTTGGCTGCAAAGCATTTTAGGGACAAAGATGTAGAGTATTGATTATTGGTGTTTGTTGTTTGGGCAGGTAGAGTTCTGGATTTGTGTGTTGCTGACCTTGTTTGGATGGTTACCTGGAATCATCTATGCTGTTTATGCCATCACCAAGTGATTTATCTATCATCCCCTCCCATATCCTCATCTACTCTGTTTAGGTGGAGATGTGAGGGTCATATTGAAAGGGCTTTTCATATCTGCTAATGGAGGAGATGGGTATCTAAAGGCTTGATGGACAGTGCATATCAACAAGACGATCACTGCAACAGACAAACGACCCAGCAGTCCCTTCATTTTCGCCTCCGGCAGTGGCTTGCACTCCATCAAGTGCTCGATCTGCCGGTCCAGATCCGATTGAGAGGCCATCGTCGAAGGATCTGATGATCACGGCTTTCCGGCGCATAGCGGCCTTGGAGGCGGATTACGGCCTTGTTTGGTTTCAAAAGCCTTCCTTCGAGCTCTCTCTCTCTCAGAGGGTCTTTCTCTCATTTCTTTTTGATTGGTGAAATCCATCCTCATCAACACACTCACCCATGTGACCCACGATGCTCAGATTCTCCAACCTATACTTTTTTCTTTTCATTACACTCTTGTTCCCACTTTCTTTATTTTATATATATATATATATATATATCTCTCTTTTTATTATCATCAAATCAAAATAAAATGACCAACATACCCTTGCCAAACTTTGGAATTTTAAGTAATTTGTTAACATGGAGGGTATTTAGGTAATTTCACAACGTAGCTTTTTTGTCACTTCCCAAATGCAAGTCCCGGCGTTTTCGGCTGCTGCCGTTTTGCTTCATAAGCCAAAAACGTAGCGTTTTTGGTGTCTTCCCAAAATGGCACTAAAAACCAAAAAGCCAACTAAAATAATCAATTTCTGAAACCAGGCCTATGTATCTATACACTTAGGAGAATTCTATTATACACACCTCCATACCATATGTACTCTCAGTTATATCATTTTTTTTTAATTATAACCAATTTTTTTTTTTAGTTAGATATTATTTTGAGATATTTTGATATGACTTTTTTGTGTTTGGTTATGAATTTTTTTTTAAAGTTATGATTAAGAAAGTATAAAATTATGTTATTTTTTCTGCAGTTATAAGGTGTATAGCACACGCCCTTTGAAAAATATGCATCATAATCTTTATCGTAAACTTATATTGGAGGTATTTGGAAAGATGGTTGGGTTAAAATAGCCTACTAAAAGATATAATATGCTAAAATAAGCAATAAAACAAAATGCCATATCTAACTAATAATTATTTCACTTTTTCTTTCACAATCATCAAATCAACTATCAAAAATAAATAAATAAATAATCAATTTCACAAATACAACTATTTTAATCAAATTAAAATAACTAAAAAAAATTAAATAACTAACTAAAATAATCAACTTTTTAAACAAGCACATTGTTTCTAAAATTGTGTCCATGTTATGAGAATTTTGTCACCACTTCCACTCGTATGAGGGCGGAGGGAAAGGGGGGTTGGGTGGTTGTGGCCCAGCAAGAATTGTAAGAACTCTATGTATATGTGTATGTGATATAGTGATGCGTAACCGTTTGTTGATGTTTGGCCCTTGCAAAAATTCTGACCCTAACAATACATATCTATCTCGTAGAAGATAAAGGCAGCCCAAACATTACTAGTTCGTTTGGAAAGAGCTTTTTCAAGTTTTTTTGGCTATTTTAGCCACAAAAGATAAAATAAGCTATTTTAACCACAAAAAATAAAACATCACATCAAATCCATAATCATTACACTATTCTCTCACAAAAAAAGTTAAAAAAGTTAAAAAGTCAAAAAGTCATTCCCAAACCAAGCTTTTTAGCCCAGTTTAAAATAACTAAAAAAGCCAAAAGCTAAAAAGCCAACCCGCTTCCCAAACGGAGAATTTTGTTAATGTGTTACTTATATTGTATTTGATTTATGAATTTGGATAGAAATTTGAAAAGAGAAAGAAAAAATGTGTATGAAATGTAGGTGAAATATAATTCTATTTCATTTACATTTTATGCACCTTTTTTTTTTTTTAATCTAAATTCATGAACCAAACATAAGATTAGAATACATATTTAAAGGTACAAGAGATGTATATTCTCAATAAAATCCATATAATAAAAAATAATTCAAAATTGTCTAAAGCTTGTTGGCAAGTTGAATTTGTTTTAGTAAACACAATGAAATAATCAAACATTTTAACCATGATAGTTTCAAATTTATAATACTTCACTTGCTCAATATCTTAATAAATTTATACATTATTAATTTAAACACACAAATTATAAAACAAGTAGTAAATTTTAAGTAATTTTTAATTATTTTTATTTAAATAATTCAAAATTTTATTAAAACCGATTTAATTAAAATTTTCATATACTAACAAGATTTATCTGATTTATATTTGACTTTTGCAATACTAAGGGGTGGTTTGGCATAATCTATTTTAATCAATCTTTTTATCTTTTTATTTTTTCAAATTACATTAATCAACATCTTCTCTCTACTTTTCTACAAAAATGCTAGAGACCCCAAAAATTCTACCAAAAGTTTTACTAAATGTCTCACATGGGTGTGGGACCCACATGGGACCCACATTGTGTGGGTCCCACACCCATGTGAGACATTCATGTGAGACATTTGGTAAAACTTTTAGTAGAATTTTTAGGATCTCTAACATTATTCTTTTATAAAAAATCAAAAAATACACTTATTTAAGACATCCCAAACCATCTCTAACTCTACTCCAGCCGTCCAGCCGTATGACCTAAGTTATTGAGGAGGCTAAGAAAACGAGTATTTGCGGGGCGGTTGGGAAAGTGAGTGTATACATTCATCGAATCTGATGCGTACACGTGGTGGTCTCTATCTTCTATAAATGCGCAGTAACCTCCATTCAACTTTCACATAACCCCTGTTTTCGTCTTTACAACACACAACACTCTCTCTTTCTCTCTCTCTCTCTCCTAATTTGTGTAGGTAGTTCTCTCACAGATTGGTTTCCTCTCTCTCTCTCTCTGTGTCCAGTTAGTTGTTTGTGAGTGAAAATGTCAGACGAATCAACAGCAACCTGCATCGATATCCTCTTGGCCATCATCTTGCCTCCCCTTGGGGTCTTCCTCAAATATGGTTGCCAGGTCTCTCTCTCTCTCTCTGTAGATCTGATTCTGATGTTGTTTTTTGTTGTTTGGTTGGCTGCAAAGCATTTTAGGGACAAAGATGTAGAGTATTGATTATTGGTGTTTGTTGTTTGGGCAGGTAGAGTTCTGGATTTGTGTGTTGCTGACCTTGTTTGGATGGTTACCTGGAATCATCTATGCTGTTTATGCCATCACCAAGTGATTTATCTATCATCCCCTCCCATATCCTCATCTACTCTGTTTAGGTAAATCCACTAACCACCTCTCTCTCTCTCTCTCTCTCTATTGAAGCTTGTGTTGTGACACATCAAATCCATGCCTATGATTAATTTTATTTAGATCAATAGTATTTTAGTACATTAGTCTATTTGAGTGATAACTATTTTATTTATTTAAATTGTATCTTTTTAAACTTTATTCATATTTTATATTTTTTTTTATAAAAAATAAAAAAATATACTTATTTAAATCCTCCTAAATGCTCCATAAATTTTATATTTATGGAAGTAAAGAGTGAATTGTAATTTTTTTTCCCTTTCTACTCTATGAAAATTAAATATGTTTTAGTCAGCACCATATATGCCAGTTGGGAAAATTTATTGGGAGAATTACGCATCTGAAAAATAATATTTATAATTTTTTTTTCCACTAATCCCCTTAATGGTAATTTTTCCAATTTTTTTTTTAGTAAATCCGGATTATATAGGGTGTGGCTCTTCGCATTGGATTGAGTCATGAAACTATTTTATTTTTATATTTTAGACTAAATAATTATGTATTTTATTACTATAAAGTGGACATATAATTGCATGATATATTAAACTTATCCTATACTAACTTTTTGTTAGTGGGCGACAATTATAAATCAAAATTCTTCTCTTGGTAATTTTGTTGGGTGGTACTCTTTGACTTTATCTATTTATTATTATTATTTTTTGACATATATTTATTTATTTATAAGGATACATATATGAACATTAATTTGTAAAAAGTAATCTTCCTTCTTAAAATAATAAACTACTTGGATAGATCTTTTATTTTAAAATAAACCTGATTTATCATTTTGCATAAATTCTATTTCTAATTGTTTTGTGTTTATCCTAATTGTAAAAATAAAGTTGTAAAATCAGCATTAAATTATTGGCAGAAAATTTTAATTGTTTGTCCATTTATATTTTTGTCATTTCTTAGTTGGGTGGGTATTTGTCATTTCTTAGTTGGGTGGGTATCCAAAGGAGGTTGTTACATGTGGTTCACATATCTTTGTGAGGGTAGGTCCTCATCAATAATTAATCAAATGGGGCAAAAACCATCATATTCTTGATTGTCATAAACAACATTCATGATATATAACACATGCATGTATGAAAATATAGATAATAATAGTATATTATTAGAAGTGTCACATACTATCTAAAAATGCTATATTTTGGTAGTGTTTTAAGAATATGGTTAAAAATTATTTTTTTAACTGATTTATATAAGAGATGATGTGATTTAAAATGAATTAAAAATTAACTTTTGACTTTTAACTGATATTCTCAAAAGAAGCGTTTATATATTTAATTTAACACAGATATATAACCTTATTTTTTAATGGCAGGTGGAGATGTGAGGGTCATATTGAAAGGCCTTTTCATATCTGCTAATGGAGGAGATGGGTATCTAAGGGGCTTGATGGACAGTGCATATTTGGTGTTTTCAAATTATTTCATTCTGTTTTTGGGAATTTTTGTTTTTAAATTAATGGGTTAGGGGTGGGTTGGGAATGGTGGTTGGTTTTGTGATTATGGTACTGTTGGTTTGTCAATGTTACTTTATATAGTGTTTATCTTCAAATCATAAAATTGGTTTTCAGGTGTTTTTTGGATTCTTGTGTATGTACGGATTTGTGGCTTATTAAATTAATTGTCATTGTGTTGTGTAACAATATTATTAGTAGCTTTCGTGTTCAAATTCCTATCTTCATAAACAAATTAAAATAAAATTGAAGTGGACAAAATCAAATGGGAATTGAACAAAGGACAAAAAGGGGACATAAAATGTATTTGAAGGCACCATATTTGTTTCCTAGTGTTTGGTCCTCACAATGCTACTCTGACTACTGTGTATATAATAATTTCAAATTGGATAGGAAATGAAATGGTTTATCAGAAAATTTCATTTTCCTGTTCGGCTCCTTGAGGAATTTGGGATGGGAAAACAGAATTGTAACAATGATGCCCCTATTGTATTGATAATTAAAAAAGGAAGTTAAATAAAAGAAAATAGGGTAAATTATACTATGGATTCGTTTAGAAAGTGGGTTGGATGTTTGGTTTTTTTGACTATTTTAGTTTGAGGCTAAAAAGCTTAGTTTGGAAAAAGCTTTAAGCTTTTTTGGCTTTTTGAATTTTTTTGTGAGAGAATAAATGTAACGATTATAAGTTGGATGCGATGTTTTATTTTATTAGACTACAAAGTCTATTTTGTTTTTTTTTTGCTAAAATAGCCAAAAAAAAGCCTCAACTTTTGCTTCCCAAACGAAGCCTATAACCTCCTCTGCAGTTTAAAAAAAATGTACGGCCTTATTTGGTTTAACTCTCAAAACATAATTTTTGAAAAAAAATTTCAAAATTTTATTTGGTTGGAAATTTTTTGAAATTGTTTTTTAAAATTACTTTCTCTCTCTTATACATCAATGAATCACTTTTTCTCTTTCATCTTTATTTTTCAATTACTTTTTTTTCTCTCACACATCTACTCAACTATAATAAAATATCAAATCCCATACTCCAAAATTATTTCCAAAATAAAAAATGCTTAAGACCACTAATTAGTGGTGGCACTAATGATGTGGCAGTGGCCCCACCCATTGCCATAGTGTTGCCGTGCCGTGCCGTGCCTTGTTTTTTTTTTTTTTTGGTTTTTTTTTTTTTGATTTTCCACCTCATTAGTGGTGGTTTAGTGGTACCAAATTAGTGGTACCAATCACTATTGTTCAAAAATATACATCCAAATAAACTAAAAAAATTTCTAAACTCTTTTTCCAAGATATTTTTTTGAAAATTTATCTTCGAAAACCAACAAAACACACCAATAGTAATCCTCATAATTTCGACATAATTATACTGATCTCATTTTTAGTAAAATTAAATAGACTGAAACTAATGTAAATGACATGGAAATATAAAAATAAATAACATAAAATATACATTTTTATATAAAAAATATTATATCATTTTTTCATTCAAATACTTAACAAATTATTAATAATTCGTGCCTTGTTTTTTTTTTTTTTTGATTGATTTTCCACCTCATTAGTGGTGGTTTAGTGGTACCAAATTAGTGGTACCAATCACTATTGTTCGAAAATATACATCCAAATAAACTAAAAAAATTTCTAAACTCTTTTTTCAAGATATTTTTTTGAAAATTTATCTTCGAAAACCAACCAAACACACCAATAGTAATCCTCATAATTCCGACATAATTATACTGATCTCATTTTTAGTAAAATTAAATAGACTGAAACTAATGTAAATGACATGGAAATATAAAAATAAATAACATAAAATATACATTTTTATATAAAAAATATTATATCATTTTTTCATTCAAATACTTAACAAATTATTAATAAAAAAGGGTTAAATATTATATAAATTAAATTATTAAAAAACTCAATATAATTATGTCAAAATTATAACATTAACTGTAATTATTGAAAATAAGTTCCGTATCAATGACAACAATGAAATTGAAAGGGTGAAGAGAGGGGCACACTACAGACTAGCTCGATTTTATTCGCACAATATCAAAGTATGTGAACAATAGGCAGAGTTAATACACTTTTTCAATATAAGACTCACAATTTTAAATTAAGATTGATAATTAAGTGCCCATAAGAAGATACATTGCATCTGTTTGGGAAGTGGGTTGACTTTTTGATCATTTTAGCCTCGGCTAAAAAGTTTAGTTTGGGAAAGACTTTTTGACTTTTTAACTTTTTTGACTTTTTTTGTGAGAGAAGAGTGTAATGATTATGAGTTGGATATAATGTTTTGTTTGTTGTGGCTAAAAAAATTTATTTTGTCTTTTGTGACTAAAATAGCCAAAAAAACTCTTGCCAAACGGAGCCATTAATTAAATTATTAAGTAACTAACAGGTGTAGTTAGTTTGGTCAGAAAACTCTTGTACTTAACCAGGAGATTAGTGTAGAGTCAGCCCCGACCCAAAGCAAGCAAGGCGGAAGTCTTGGACTCCCAAATTTTGACAAATTTTAAGGGCTCTCGAATAATTTTAATTTTTATGGTGTTAGTAGGTTTAAAAATAAAGGTTCAAACCAACTCATGTAATTTCACAATCTAAATTAAAGATTTTTAGAGCATCTCTAACTTCTTCTTCTTCATTTTTTTTTTTTTCGATTTAATTGGATTATAGATTTGAGTAAAAAATTGAGAGGTTTATTTATAAATTCAACTTTTTCATTAAATTTTCATAAAAAGCTTTCTAAAACTTCTCTCCATATTCTAGAATTTTCTTTTCATCAAATTTAATGAAAGAAAAATTATCTTCAATATCTTTTTCAATTTAGGGATAAGCTCCCCTCCATATTTTTATCCCTTCATAAATCTCCATACCCTCTTGTAGGTCTTAATTTGGACCTCTTGTAGGTCTTAATTTGGACCCGCACTGATGATCCGAACCGTCTATCTAGTAAGTTTCGTAATAAAGATTATCTATATAAAAAATAAGTTTCATCAAAAAATTATAAACTTGAGGAAAAAAATCACAATTTGTTTTATAAAATAAACAACAAATCTTATTGTAAACTTAAACCATCCACATTTTATAAAATAAAATATTTTTTGTTTACGTGTTTATAATTTTCTAATGAAATTCATTTTTTTTGTATGGATTACCTTTATTAACAAAGTTATAAGTATGGCTGCAAATGAACCAAGCTGTTTATGAACAGTTCGCGCTCAGCTCGTTTAAAACTCGTTTGAGCTCGGCTCGTTTACTAAATGAACAAGCTCGATCTCAATTTTTAGGTTCATTTATTAATCAAACTGAGTTCGAGTAGCCCTAAGCTCGCCTCAATAAGGTTCATGAATATAAAAATAAATAAATAAATATCTATTTTTAATAATATATTAAATAAATTTTCAATAATCTATTTTATTTTTTATTTATGTTTGGTGTTTGTGTAAATGTACATATTTGATTGATAAAATTTATTATTAATATAAGTATTATTTTATATTTTACTCATAATTTTGTATTTTTTTAATCTTAATAAGTAAATTAATTTAAATTTAATTTTTTTTTTTCAAGCTCGAGCTGAAACTTGGCTTGTTTATATAATCGAGCGAGCTCAAGCTCAATTTTTGAAACTTGACTAGAGCTCAGCTCGAGCTCGAGTTTGAGTAATTCTTAATAAACGAATTTAAACATTCAAAAGCTTGACTTGGCTCGGCTCGTTTGTAACCCTACTTACAAGATAGATAGTTTGAATCATTGGTGTAAGTCTAAATTGGACCTAGAGAGGGGTAAGGAGAGGTATGAAGGGGAGCAATGACGGAGACAAATAAGGATCGGGCGTACGTGCTCTCCTTAACTTTTGAAAAATTACACTTTTGCTTCTAGCTTAAAAAAAAAAAAAAAAAAAAAAAGTTTCAATTTAACCCATTCTAGTATGATATTAAATTTTTAAATCACTATTTTCTTTACATTTTTTCTTCAAAAATACTTGTTTAATATATTACTATATGTCATCAATTTTGTATACTAGAGAAATATTATATGTTATTGAGTTTTTTATTATATCACCTCTTATATGAACACTTAAAATTAGTTCATTTGTTTAGAGATACTTATTACACAATTAACAACAATTAATAATATATTGCTATGTAATTTAAGGATTCAAAATTGTAAAAAAAAAAGTGATATATAGCACTATCTTTGTATTATTTATTCACCTTTTCCCTCATTTTTTATTTTTATTTTTATTATTCATATCTACATCTATTTTGTGTGTGCAACTTAATATAATTTCGTTTTCATATTTTATGAAATATGTGATTATTTGATTATCATAGATAAAATCAAATTTAAACAAAAAAATGATTAAGATCAGTTAACTCAAGCTTATACTTAAATATAACATTTGCCTTGTAATGCTTTTTATTCCTACCATCAAATAAAAATTAAGTTTAATTGTGATTTTTGTTAAGATTTCAACTTAATGTTGCCCCTTCTGAGCTAAATTTATAGCTTCGCCATTAGAGAGAAGCCTATTCCAATCAAAAAATATATATTTATAGATCTTATTCATTATAAGTATGACTCATATTACATTAATTTTGATTTTACATTATCCACATTTAGAGTAAAAAATTTAAATTAATAATTTTTTATTATTTATACATGAAAGACCCCAATTTTAAGACTATGGTTTGAATATTTTCACTTACATATGAATTTTATTCTCGTATTTATTGGGATTTTTTTCTTCCACTTTTGACAGTTTCTTTGTATAATTATGTATCTTATCTTCATTATCAAAGTTTTTTTTACAATTTGAATTATACAAATTAAATGTGAATTACACTAACGATCCCTATAATTTGAAATTTGTGTTCACTTTGATTCTTGACCGGTCAATTGTGATATATTTAATCTTAAATTTTGAATCTTGTTTCAAATAAGAACAATTGAAATCTCCTTTTCAAGGGTAAAGTCATTAATTTAATAAAATATAAACTAATTTGATAAAAATAAATGTGAAAAAATTATTTTTAAATTTTAAAAAGTTATTTCTACCTACTAAAGATAAATTATATAAAAAATAAATCTTTTACATTTTTATATTTTTATTTTTTTACCAAATTAATTTTTAGTATGCGTTGGATGATAATCATATAATGGGTGATTTTTGTTGATATTTTTGGATGATTATTATATAATAGATGGTTGCATTTGTTGTTGACAAATATTTTTCGATAGTACAACACCAGTTATGGTATTATTATTGACCTTACTCATTATACAAATTACAAAACATATTAAATTATGCCATATCATCAATTGGTACACTAGTTAATACACCAGTTGGTGCATATAGCATTATTCTTTTTCGGGTTATGCTAGAAACCCCAAATGAATTACTAATTTTTTTACCAAACCTTTAACATTGGTTTGGGACCCACACACATGTAGGTTTGTGTGGGTCCCTCACCTATTTGAGAGATTTGATAAAAAATTTGGTAAATCATTTGGAATCCATAGCGTTATTCATATCTTTTTGATGATTATCATGTAATGAATGATTATTAATATTAGGCTTTTATATTGTAATCGATATGTTTAATCGTTTGGGGATTTGTTTTTTTAGTTTAAAAGTCAAAAAAGTCACTAAAAAAAATAAAAAAATCAATAATCTATACCAAAAAGTCAAAGATTATTTTTTCCCATATTTTTTCGTAAAAAATCAAAAAATCATTCCAAATATACTAATTTTTTTTACATCATATTTAGCCAAAAAGTTAAAAAATTTCTAAAAAAATCTGTTCCCAAATGAGGCCGAAATGTTTTTAGTTTTGAAGTTTTTGATTTAATAGATTGGTTTAATATTTGACATCACAATTGTTGCCATATTTGACTTTTGAAAAAATAGAAAATAATTTAACAAAAATAAATATAAAAAAAACTATTTTAAAATATTATTTCTACCATCCTAAAAGATAAAATTATATAAAACTAATGCATTTTTAATTTTTTTTTCATCAATTTAAATTTTAGTTTCTTAGAAATTTTTTCTAAAAATAGAATATGAACACCAAACCAAATAAAACTTTATAACCAATAAAGTGCAACCTTTATTTATTAAAAGAAAGACTATTATATTTCAAACAACATATAAGTTAACTAACATCAAAATAAGTAGTATGATAACTTTACCCTTCAAATAAAAGGCAAATTACCAACACCCCCTCAAGGTTTGACTAAAATACAAATTTCCCCTGAGATTTGAAAAATTACAAATTGTCCCATGAAGTTTATATTTGCATAACAAATGAGAGGACAATTTGTTATGCAAATATAATCTCATGGGACAATTTGTTATGTAAATATAAATCTTAAAGAGCAATTTGTAATTTTTCAAACCTCAAGAAGAATCTGTATTTTAGTCAAAGCTTGAGGAGGTGTTAGTAATTTGCCCTAAAATAAATCATTTACAGAGAAAATATTTTTGATTGTCCTTATTTAAAATAAGATTCAAAATTTAAAATTAAATATTTTATAATTAAAAAAATAAAAATAAAAGTAACATATTAATATAACCCGCCTTAAATTAAAATTGTGTAGAAACTTCCCATGTCCATATCCATACCATATCTGGAACATGACTCTAAAACTTGTACGAAGTGACCAACGGAATAATAAATTAGAAGGCAAATTACTACACCTTTCTTAAGATTTCAAAAATTACATCTCGCTTCTTGAAATTTATATTCGTATAACAATTTAATTCTTACTGTTAAAAAGAAAGACTATTATATTTCAAACAACATATAAGTTAACTAACATCAAAATAAGTTGTATGATAACTTTACCCTTCAAATAAAAGGCAAATTACCAACACCCCCTCAAGGTTTGACTAAAATACAAATTTCCCCTGAGATTTGAAAAATTACAAATTGTCCCATGAAGTTTATATTTGCATAACAAATGAGAGGACAATTTGTTATGCAAATATAATCTCATGGGACAATTTGTTATGTAAATATAAATCTTAAAGAGCAATTTGTAATTTTTCAAACCTCAAGAAGAATCTGTATTTTAGTCAAAGCTTGAGGAGGTGTTAGTAATTTGCCCTAAAATAAATCATTTACAGAGAAAATATTTTTGATTGTCCTTATTTAAAATAAGATTCAAAATTTAAAATTAAATATTTTATAATTAAAAAATAAAAAATAAAAGTAACATATTAATATAACTCGCCTTAAATAATTCGCCTTAAATTAAAATTGTGTAGAAACTTCCCATGTCCATATCCATACCATATCTGGAACATGACTCTAAAACTTGTACGAAGTGACAAACGGAATAATAAATTAAAAGGCAAATTACTACACCTTTCTTAAGATTTCAAAAATCACATCTAGCTTCTTGAAGTTTATATTCGTATAACACTTTAATTCTTACTGTTAACTAAGCGTGAAGAATAATTAACTGGCATCAACAAAATATAAATTGATAAACAATATCACTCCTGCTAAAATCCCTTTAATAAATCAACAAAATTTACAAAAGAATTACATTAAATAAAAAAATTAAAATTTTAGAACCATGTTTGATTTGTTGTTTAGAAAAAAATTTCAGAATTAAAAAAAAAAACTAATTTAATAAAAATAAATATGAAAAAATATATTTAATTTGTAAAAATTATTTCTAACCACTCAAAAGATAAAATATATTTTTATTTCTTAACCAAATTAATTTTTAATTTTTTTAAAAATAAATTTAAAAATAAATTTAAAAATAAATTTTCAAAAATCAAACCAAACGTCTTCTATGAATTTTTTGACAAGTCATTTCTTGTGTTTTTAACTTATTTAATTATTTTTTAATTTTATGATATTTTCACCATCTGACACTACAACATATAAGAGTTTTAGAGACTAATTTTTTTGATTTTTAAAAGTAAAAATTTTGTTGCAAAAAACATTTATGGACTAATTTCTATCGTCAGGAGGATAATCGCTAAAAGATCACTCTAAAAAATAAAAAATAAGACTTTTAGCGATATAATTTTGAAAATATCAATAATAAATAGATTTTTAGGGACAATAATTTGGTCTCAAAATTGTTTATTTTTTTGAAACAAAAAATTTGATACCAAAAAGATATTAATTAATCAATAATGTTCAATTTTCGTTGCTAAAAATATAATAACACTTTTCGCAATAAAAATATTTAGTTCCATAAAAATAATTGTCCCTAAATTTTGGTCTAAAAAAATATTTTTTTTGAAGTGTGATAAGTATTTTTCCATTTTAATTTTGCATTTCATAATTTATTCAAAAATGATAATTTAGTTAAATCTTAGAGAAAAATCTATAATTTAACTACACCTCAGTGAGAATCTATAATTTATCTAAATCTTAAGGGGATGTTGGTAAGAATAAAGCTTGAGACCCCCAGTGGGGGTACTGGGGGTCCTCTCTGATTGGCCAAAATATATATATATATATTTTTTTTAAGTTTCCTCCACGTGGAGGTGGGGTGCTGGGAGTCGCCCCCCACTGGAGGTCCCCAACATTGCCGATGTAGGTAATTTGCCCTTATATGTCAAAAGGATATTTTAATCAATTTATGATATCCGTTAACGACGTTAATTGCAATAGGACATGATGTAATTTTTAAAATCTCAAGAGAAAATTTGTAATTTTGTTAAACCTCATGGGAGGTGTAAGGTAATTTGCCCTAAATTAATTAGATATGAAAGTGGAAGATGACTCGCAAAGCATATCTTGATTGCCAACATTAACAAACCACTCAACATCACCAATCAATAGAAAAAACAAACATATACTATTAAGAAACTACACTTCATCAATTAATGAAAAAAACAAATATATATAAATAATAAAACTAGAGATTAAGGACTTGTATTGTTTGTTTTTGAGAAATAAATTTTGATTTTTTTTTTTAAAATTTGTTTGGTTTAGTGATTTTGGAAACTTTTCATCTCCTACACATCAATCAATTATTTTTTTTTCTCTTTTTTTTTTTTCTCAATCACTTTTTCTCTAACACACATCTACTCAATTATAACAAAATATCAAATCATCCCAAACTCTCACACTCCAAAACTATTTCCAAAATATATAACCAAACAAACCAAAAAAATTTCTACACTCTTTTTCCAAGATTTTTTTTTAAAATTTATCTCCCAAAACCAAACCAAACAAACCCTAAGGCTTTGTTTGGTTTGATTTGTAGAATTTGTTTTTAGAAAAAATTTCAAAAAATAAAATAAAAATTAATTTGGTGAAAAAATAAAAAATATTTATTATTTTTATATAATTTTAACTTTTGAGAACACATAAATAAATTTTAAAATTTTTATTTGAAATTTATTTTAGTCAAACTGGTTTCTATTTTTTCAGAAAATTAAAAAATTAAAAAAAAAATTGAAAATAATTTCACAAGCACAAATCAAACATGGCCTAAGACATCCACAAATGAGTTATTGGCTGAGAACATCGCATACTACAAGAGCTTTTCATTACTATAATGTTGTGTTTGGTTTGGGAATTTATGGAGAAGTTTGGAAAAAGGAAAAGAAAAAAGTGTGTGAAATTAAGTGAAATGTAGATATATTTTATTCACATTTCACCTAATTTCACCCACCATTTCCTTTCATTTTCTAAATTCCTCTCCAAATTTCCCAACCAAACACAACATAAATGATTTTCTAATTGGTATATTTATTTACTGTAATTAATTTTTTTTTTTTTACCACCACAACCCGTTCTCGAATATCAATATTTTCATTTTCAAAATCTGGTACAAAAAAAATATGAACTAAACCTACAAGTAAATGATTGCTTGCACTGAAATAAGTAGAGAAATGATGAGGAACCTGAAACCTTGGGGGAAGAAAGCATTTTACCTCCGGTGAATACACTTCTAAAACATGATCTGGAAAGAGAAGTAACTAATGATAAAACTCCCTTGAGCAATTTCATCTCATCCTTTAAACTGCCATTCTCCACGGCACATGGGGCACTGTGCTTGAGGCGTCTGCGAATTCACCCATTTTAAGATGCAATGAAGATGAAAAGCATGGTTGCACGCGCCCCATACTGCAATATAAAACGTATGGATTGATGTGTTAGTTTTACCAACAAGCTTTACTAATATTACCCCACAAAAATAATAATAATAATTCAAATCATGGTCTGATGAAACTACAAAATACTGACAATAACCCACTTGATACTATCCATCAAGTAAAGAGATTAAGAAGAGAAATGTCAATTTCAAATCAGAGTAATTACTGCTAGTTCAGCAGACTCACAAATAATTAGCATAAGAGTTGTATTGATTTCAGTTCTTTATAAGTGAAGGTTTCATCTTATGGTGAAGCATAGTTTGTTACGAAGATCCGTTTTAAGGTTCATCTCGTGGTTGATTGCACAAGTTAAACAAAAGTTATAACCTTCATTTTGCTGCAACCTACTCAACAAAGTATAAAACCTGTGATGACTAAAAAAATCCCAGTCGGATGACAGAATGTGACTCGTCAATTGTCTCCTTCTATTCTAGGGTGTGAGCCCCAACATCTATGATGTCAACACATGAAGTCTGCTAATGATGAAGAAAATTGTTCAGTTACAGAAAAAAAAATCTAATAACAATAAGCTAATGATTAAACTAGGGGGAATTACAATTTAGTGTAATAGACCAAAAGTAATTATAGGGGGTGGAGGGTGCAACTCTTTCTGTGGGTTTCTTGCACAGGGAGAGTTGTACCCCCCATGTTTGTGTGGTATAAATCCCAGTTTTTAAAATTTAAAATTCCAAGAGGGCAATTTTTATTAAATGCTGCTGGCCAAGAGAGTCCTAATTAATTCCATTACCTGTGTTTGAGGCATTTCTATCCAAACTAGTTGAAAAACAAAAGACGATAATTTTTTAAGTTGGGTCAAAATGCAATAATGGAGCAGAAATTAGTGGTGAGGTGCTTCAATAAAAGGCTAACAAGCATAGTTGTCAAATCGGGATTCGTATCGTGAATCGAAATGGTCTCGTACCGAATCGTGAATCGAATCGAATCGTGAATCGTAAAGATTCGGTCACTTCTTCTAAATTATTTAAAAACATATATTTACACATTTAGATGTTAAATATATCTTATGAATATAAAATATTTAGACTTAAGTTAATAAAAATGTTATTTTGAATGATAATCACATAGTTTAATAAGTAAGAAGTTAACAAACGTTCCTATGTAAGATCACCATCTTACCTTTTTTTTCTTTTTTAGATATTTCTTATCAACTATTCTTAATAAAAATAATAACCAAATGGACAAATTATCAATTTCTAAAGTAGCAATAATTAACAAGGATATTGATATTTGGATAATAAGCATACATACTTTTCTAAGTAACAGTGAGCAAATAATAAAAAAAAATCTTTTAAAATCTTTTTTTTTAAAGCTTAAAATATTTTAAAAAGTATAACTGACCTCATACATATAATATTTAATTTAATAAAATAGCAATAGATAATTCATAGTATAATTTTAATCTTAAACATCTTTAGAAGGTATATTACGATTTTTTAAAGGAAAAAAAAAAATGAGAAGAAAGGTTAAAAATATGTTAGGTCTGATTAAATCTAATTGGATTCTATTGAAAACTTCATGATCACTAAAATAACAACAAATCATGTATATATGCTGGTTATTTTGATATTAAATGCTATTAGAAGTTGCATTATGCCATTTTTACTAAAAAAATGGAGAAAAAATAGAGTCGAAAATATGTCGAACACAATAATTTTAAAAATTGCATGAATCGTAAAAAGTGAATCGAATCGTGAATCGATTGTGAATCGTGCGATTCACTAGAGATTCACTTCCAAAATAGATTCACCCTTAGATTCGTATCGATTTTGCAAAAATTGCGAATCGAATCGTGAATCGAATCGCGAATAGTAAGATTCTGACAACAGAGCTAACAAGGTAGTGGGGTGAGATAAAAATCATGAAAGGTGAACTAGCATACAAAATAGAGAGGGGCCCCTCTTCTCCTTTCTTTTTTGTTCTGTCCATACATGCCATGACCCTCTCCAAATTGTGGGGTCACCCATGTGGTTCAAGAAATCACAATTGACGAATCATGATCTAACATGTAAATCATTGTAAGGACATCTATTGAAGTGTGGCCAACCAAAATTGAATCTCAAAATCGTTTCTTATGCCTCACACAACATTGAGGAAATGGAATTAACTACACAGTGGCAAAGTTCAAGCAAAGCATGCAAAAGGCCTGGATCAGATGCAGTCTACACTCTGCAAAGAAAAATAGCTTAAATGCGCTACTGTTTGATGCACAAAATGACAGACATATCGAAACCCATCAGAGGAGTTAGTAAACTTTGACGAATCAATTACATAAATGATAAATTAGGTACAAACAATGAAAAAGAAAAATATGAAGTCAAGGCATGATATAACTAAAGGAGTGACTTACTTAGTGGGCAATCATCCCCAGGGAATTTACAGTCAGGACAGCAACCATCAAAGGCCGTTCTACATATTCCACATGTTTCATCTTGCGCACCCCAAGTCCATGATGCAACAGAATGCCACCTACAATTAGTAGAGAGGTAAAACTATAACAACCTTACCATATTAACGCTTTGTTGTTTTGATAGAAAGCATTTTCCAAAGGAAAACGTTTTCTTCTTTTTTTTCTCCCAGAAATTTTTTCCTCTAAAAAATGGTTTCCTTTGTCTAGCTGCGACCTTCAAACTAATATGCTAGTGGTTGTATTAGTGGTGGTTGAGGTGAAGGTAGAGGTGGTGGTGGTGGTGGTGGTGGTGGTGGTGGAGAGGTGGTAGTGTGATGACATTGGTAAGACATTAGTTCAAAAAATGATTTCCACCTTTCAAAAGTGGAAAACATTTTTTTGCTCAAATAAGCATGTTTTCCATTGATCAAGAAAATATTTTTTTGTTGACTTTTGTTTTCCATCGTATTAAATGCCAGAAAATGTGAAAAAGTTTTCCAAAAAATGTTTTTCACCAAAACAAATGGAATATAAGTCCAAACAACCACCAAAATGAAACAGTTAAAAGAGATCTTACTCTGGTCATGAGCCCAACGGTGTTTAATAAAGGTCAAGAGAAAACTGAATCTACAAATAGTTAAAAATATGTGATGGTGACAATAAATGGTTTCAAAAAGCTCTAATCTATGAATAAAAACAAAATTTCAAAGAATTGATGCCAACATTACAGAATGAGATTCCCTATGCAAATTATACTAAATACTAAAGTAATTGAAAAGTTATGGAGAAAAGACTGATTGCTAGTACCAAATAATTTGTATACATTCAAAATCAACAACAAAACAAGCATCCATATCATGCATTGGAATTTCTAAAGGAATATTTTCCATCCTAATGACATGATAGAATGTCTCTGAAAAATCAAGAGGCCTATAATTAATTTAAAATTATTTGAAACACTTGAAGACTCAAGAGGCCCATCGTTTAGTTCAAACTATTATGTCTTGGGAAGTTAAAGCTTAGAAAGGTTTCAATCTCCACACTTAAATTTAGTTATTACTTAGGTGTAAGTTGTTGGGTGATGACTTTTTTACTAATTCATAATTTCCAAAATGAAAAAACACTAAAGTGTTATAATAACCACTACCAAAAGCCTAATTGTGATCAACACTCATCGATTTCATAAGAACCTGCAGATGCAACATGTGTAATGCTCGTGGAAGTTCGAGTACCCACGAGCAGTTGCTAGTCCCCACAATTCCGTAGAACCCATTTTTCTATACCCTCTTGATTTAAACAGGAAGCCCAGAATTGAAATTTATGAATAAAACAAAGTGAAGGAAGTATTTTTTGGCAATGGTCCTTCATAATTATCTATCACACCTAAGGTATCTAATTTATGCATATAATTGTATTTCTATATAATTCACAAGAGATTATTAGTTATACACCCACAACAGAAGAACATTCAAAGAAGGTACACATCAATTGTTTGATAAAGGATAAAAGAAATCATCATTAAGAAGGATACGTAAGAGATTAACTTTCATTTTCTTCCCCCTGTAAACAAACATCGCATGATGCGGAAAGTCAGACCATGAATAAAATACATTTTCTTTGTTACAATTATAAGTGACAAAGAAAGTAAACCACACCACATTACAATAACTCATCATGCACATAAGTAAAAGAAAACATGAAGAGTGACTTTTCAAGCTCGATTTGGTTGTTCGGAAAAATGTGAGAACAAAAACAGAATCCAAAAAAACAAAGCTTCCTTCCGAAGGTTTTTTTTGTGTTCTTTTCGTCCCCTCATTTTCTTGAGAACCAGACAGAATGAACTAGGGAACAAGAGGAAAGGAATTAACAAAAATGGAAATGACAGACCTATTAAATCCTGGATCAACAACAAGAGTTGATTTCTGGCAGATTATTTGATTGTTTTGGTGTATATTTAACGACAATGTCTGTATATAAAACATTTTCGGGTGAGTTTTGATTATGGATGTAGAATTGAATTGAGATTATATAAATCCATGCAAATGTAATTCAACAAATTGTAATTCCTTAAAATTAGAATTCTACAGTTTGGTATAGCATTCGAATTCACTTATAATTTGAAATGCGTTGTTTAAATGTGTAATTAATCATTTGGGAGTGCATGCTTGTTATAATGAATTGCCCCACTAGTCCCATTTTGACCTGTATATATATGTGCTCATGTGTTGTTATGTGGCAAATGGAGGGAAGACAAACTTGAGGTATAGTGAGCTGCAATTAGTTAAGTATGAATTGTTGTGTGAGTAAAAAAATCTGCTCTAAAATAGGGAGTGTGGGAGAAACAACAAAAATCAAGCAATGTAAAATTTGAATTTGTGATGTATTGATTCTGTGGAGGATAATAATTCTCTCTCTTCTTTGAAGCTCTATTTCTATTGTTTTTCTTTACTTGCTCTGTTTATACACATTTCTCTATTCAATCATTCCTTCTTTGTTTCCCAACAAATTCTCATTGTTCCATATTGGAGAATGCATCGAGTGGTATCAAAGTTGGCAATCCTCAGCAACGATGTCACCACGAGAAATATTGGAGTCAATGCGTAAAGATTTCAAAAGCTTGATGCAATGATCTTGACGACAATTGAGACCACCTGTGAAAGTTTTAATCACATTGAGGAAATTTTCAATAACTGATGCAACCAATAAACAAAGATTGGGGACGAAACAGAAGTGGTGAAAAATTGAAGTGGAGAATTTGTAGTGCTCGGAGTGTGAGAAGAATACCAAAATGGAATTTGGCCACTCAATAAGCAACAAGGAGAGCTTGACGAGTGGGTTGGTGCTGGAGACCCACTTCAATGGTGAAACCACTGAGTGGCAGAACTTTGCCAACGAATCGGACAAAAGGAAATGAAAACGAAAGAAAAATTTGTGTGCACTATCCATGGAGTGGCGTGAAGCCACAAGAAAAAATTGGAGCAGCAGCTTAAGGCCAAGAACTTCAAATACCAAGTCTACCACAAGGAACTCCCTACAACTGGAGGCATGGTCATTCGTGCCCTCCAGACTCACAAAGATACAATACAACCAACAAAAACCAACTTTCCAAGGTGTTGGGTTCATTAACAGATTTTCTAAGAGCAGAAAAAAAATTGGAAAATTTGAAGTTTTTACTCATATTTTCGGATTCACAAAAAGACATCCACCAAAAAAAGCATATTGATTTTAACAATCCCAATACCAATTGCATCATGGACAGTTGTTGGAGTAGTAGGAAGTGTGATTATAAGTATTATGAATTTTGTTTAATGGAGACATTTTGTGCTAATAGTAAGGAAGATGGTTCATTTCCAATAAAGCCAATCAAATGCTTCACAATGGTACTTTGAGCAATATTTGGGGAAGCCGCTGCCATTGTTCACGATTTTTCACACTTTCATGGATGGGTTGCTTGATATTGTTCACATGGGATATCGATAATGTACTGCTGTTACTGTTGTTCTTCATTTCTTCTTTCTTTTTAGTCTTTCATCCCGTAGTGAAGCAATTGATCTTCTGGTTTTAGTTTCAGCCTTGAGAACAAGGCCTTTGAAGGGGGATGGAATGATAAATACACGGCCAAGAAGAGTTGGTTGTTGGGTTGTTACATGACATGGCAAATGGAGAGAACACAAACTAGAGGTATTTATCAACCGAAAAAAAAAAAAAAAAAAAAAAACCTACCAGAAGTATAACCAACTGGCATTTAATTAGCTATGAATTGTAATGTGAGACAAAATCTGCTATAAAAAGGGGAGTGAGAGAGATGAGAAAATCAAGAAATATATTATGTGAAGTTGTGATATATTGAATCTGCAGAAAATAAGAATTATTTCCCATCTTCTTCTTTGAAGTTCTGTTTTCTTTCTTTTTCTTCACTTGATCTGCTCATATATACACATTCCTCTACCCAACCATTTCTTCTTCATTTCTCAGCAACTTCTCATTGTTACATAATACACAGTGTGCATCAGTTTCAAGTCCAACAAATTATATAAATTTCACTTTGGCATTTTATCAAACACTTTGTGTGAAAGAAAGAGACAATGAGGAAAAACAAATAATCACATAGAAAGATATAAAGAATTAGATGATCACCAAATTACAAGTTGAAGAACAAACACTGAAAATTCACCAATTTGTGTCTATACAAAAAAAAAAAAGAAAAAAAGAAAGAAAGAAGAAGAACCCACATATATACATATACACATAATTAACGAACACAAATTCAAATGTGGAAATCATCAGTAACACATAATCAACAAATACATACATGGACATATCTAAGTAGAGAGAGAGAGAGAGAGAGAGAGAGATAGAGAGAGAGAGAGAGAGAGAGAGAGGACTCACCGAAAGTGTATCGAGTCGAGCCTTGGGAAAGGAAGAATTGGGTCGAAATGTGCAGGTCAGATCGTCAATAATAGTTTGCTTTGTACTCTGCCTAGTTCAGCTTGGACTTGGACCGTGTGTTCGGTCCGTGGGTCATCACGGTTTCATTGATATAAAAAATTTATTTTTAAACACTTACCGGTATGTCATATATATATATATATAAAATTAATTAGTTTTTATATATTTTTAATTATTATTTAAAATTCTTATTTTTTTATTTTAAAAAATTTAAAAATATTGTTATATTTTATCACTATTGAACTTTTGTCAGACGGTCACTGGAAACTTATCGAGAAGTTGTTGAAATATTACTAAAATGTTATAAATATCACTGGAAGTTGCCGGAACGTCCAAAACATCGCTAGGCATCAAGAATATCGCCCGAGACTCATCGGAATGTCAAGAATATTGTCAGGAAAAAAAAGAATAAATGAAGAAATTAGAGCAAAAAAAATTGCAAAATGTGTTAATTAATGATAAACTGAAAGAAAAAAAAAACGTAACAATAAAAAATAACAACAATGGAAACTATAAAATTAATTATTTTTTAATTTTTATAGAGTTTAAACAAAAAATCTCGTATATTAATTAAACTGAAAAACATGTTTTGAAACTATAAAATTATTATAGTCAAAGTATGATTTTATTA